CTTAGGATAAAATATTAAAGTATTTTTAATACATGATGCTGAATTGCCTCTAACAAGAAACTCAAAGCAATGTATGTGTTTTTCTCTATTGTCACAACAATATGGGCATCATATCATTTTTTAAACTTTTCATAGTTGGCAACAAGTGTTTATTAGCTTTATAAATGGAGTATAATCCACATACCATAAAATCCAGCCTTTAAAAAAATATTTTTGACACTAATAGGATTTGAGCTCAGGACCTTCCAGTTGCTAGGCAGAAATTGTCTACCAGTTGACTCATGCTTCCAGCCCTATTGGCTGTAGTTATTTTTTGGATAGGTTTTGTACAGTCTTATGCCTCACTGGGACAGAGATCCTATTTATGCTTCTTGTATAGCTAAAATGACAGATATGCCTCACTGCACCCAGGTATTGGTTACAATGGGGTCCTATGAGCTTTTACCCAGGGCTGGACTTGAATTGTTATCCATCCCCTATCTCTGCTTCCCAAGTAACTATAGTACAGCTGTAAAAATTTAGCCTTTTAATGCATATGGTGCAGGTGCAGGTTTTTATTCAGCATATTCACAAGTTTGTACAACTAATTCCAAAGTGTTTTCATGATCTTCCAAAAGAATACTATAGCTGTTCTTCCCACCCAGCCCTGCGAAGTACTACTTTGTCTCCATGGATTTGCCCTATTCTGGACATTTCATATAATCATACAAGAAATTGCCATTGTGTATACTTTCTTTTACTTAAACCAACTTTTAAAGATTTATGTTGTAATATATAATAGTAGCTTATTTCTAAATAATATTCCATTATATGGATATATCATGCTTTGTTTATTAATGCTTTTAGCCAGTGTGTATTTGGGCTGTTCCCCCAGTTGATATACATAATTTAAAAAATTGAACATACAAGTTTTGCTTTTGAGACAGGATCATGCTATATATGTGGCCTGGGCTGGCCTTGAAACACAGTTCTTCAGATATCAACCTCCTGAATAGAATATACTTAGTGGCATGAGCCACTCATGTCTGGCTGGCAGGGAAATGAGATTTTAAGATTAGATCTGTTACTATAGCCTCTGGTCATAAGATCTGGCTCTGGGTCCAGATGGGAATTAAGAGTAACAATAGAATGTATAAAAATGATAACTTGGGTTATACTTTTGGACAAAAGTTCAAAGAAACCAGAAGATATATACATATATCCCTATTATAACTGGGACACAAATCTTTCTCCTGATACTAGGGACCAGGGCATTTTGGGGAAGGCGATTTTCACTCCTAGTATGACATTTCCTATAGGAGGTGGATTGGAAAAACTATGTTGAGAGCTCTGAGTGATGGTGCCTGTGTGTAACCTTGGCCAGGAGGGTGGTGGCTCAGGGCCAGCCTGGGTAAAAGTTAGCTAGATCCCATCTCAAGCCAGGCATTGTAACACTTACATGCAATTTTAGTTATTTGGGAGATGGTAGCAAGAGGATCATAGTCCAAGGATAGCTAGAGCAAAAGCACAAGATCCTATCTGAAAAGTGCTGTCATGCTTGTATAGGGCGTATGAGCCCTTGACTTCAGTCCCCAGTACTGCATAAAGCAAAATAACAACAACAAAAATCAGTGAAGATAATTTATTCAGTTCAAGGTGTTATACAGTGAAATTATATTTTTAACCGATCAGGCAGTCATTTACTCAATAAAAGGTCAGTTACACTGGAGGCCTGGCTCAAGTGGTAGGTAGCTGTCTTGTATGCAAAAAGCTCTGTGTTTAATCCCTAGTACCACAAAAAAAGAAGAAAGAAAGAGAACATGGGAAGAAGAATAAAAGGAAGGAAAAAAAGAAGAGAGGAAGCCAAAGTCAATTGGGTAATCATTAAAAACAAGCAAATTAGCTAAATTAAGACCTCTAATATGTAATGTCTAGATGAGTCAAAGACCTAAGGACAAGAAATAAAACTGTGGAAGAAGGTAAGTGTGAAGACCATTGTAAATATGACAGAAAATTCCAAAGTCACAAAAATATATTCATGTAATTTTAAATTAAATATTATTTTAATTAAAAATCATAATTGTATATATGGTACAAATAGCTATAAATTTGATAACATGAAAATATAAATTTCTGCAGGTTAAAACATCAGAATAATGTAAAAAGACAAATGACAGTGACAAACTAGAAAGAAAATATTTGCAGGCTTTCTTACAAGGAGCTAAAATCTAAGGCATGCCTGTAAATAGAAAAGAAAGAGTAACAACCAACAGGAAAACAGGCAAAGAATAGAAATTGTAATTCATAGTTAAGTTCAACTTTCTAATGGCTATTCAATATATGACAATTTATCAACTTTATTCATAATAAGAAAAAATAAAAATATTTGATATTTATCAGGTTGGCACTTTATACAAAGGCTATGCCTTTCTGAAGAGTATCAATTTGGATAACCTCTTCAGAGGTAATTTGGTTGTATTTACAATAATATTGTAGATAAACGCTTGACTCAACAATGTCACTTCTAGATACTTACTGCCAAATCTGGGAGAGGGAAAAGAAATAAGGAGAAAGATAGTATATAGCGTGACACCATTGGAAGGACTAGTGGAAAGAAAACATCTATTTGTGCCTAAGTATATGGCCTGTTAATGAAAGGATGAACATGAAAGTGGTTTCAGTAATCCCTCCTTGGAAGGGACTAGGAATGGACAAATACTGAATACCCTTCATGCTTACATAACCCTTTTGTACCTTTTCAGTCTTTAACCTCATGCATATATTGCCTGTGTGCACAAGAGTAGTAAAATCAGCTATATCCAGGGGCTGTCTTCCATTGAATATTTCTAGTATTCCATCAACTGAGTCATTAAACTCTTATCAAATACTCACAGAATTGTTTTATGGTTGATAAGCAATAAAACATTTCAAATATTTTCTGTTCTGTATAATTTGGGGAACAAATTTCTATTATAAATGTCTATTACAGTTTTACATCAGTCTCTTTGATACAATCATTAAATTGTTAGAGATGCTAAGATTAAGGTCTTAATAATAACTAAGCATTTTGAAACTATGTAAGTCTATGACCATTGTCAATTAGATATAGTACATTCTTTAAAAGAAAATAAGTAATCCTGTGTAATGCCAAGCACTCAGAATCCTGTGTACACAGGAAAAGGCAAACACACTTGCAAGTTTTCTACTGGTATCATGCTTTCTTCTGCACACATTATCCACTCTTGCATCTACTCATAGCTCCATGGGAATCTAGAGGTCTCCATAGTTTGAGATGAAACTAACTGAGGTCAAAGACAGTATCCTACTCAGTAAAAAAAGAAGTGTACAAGGGAAGAATCTGGGTAAGAAGAGATTAGGTAACGGAGTAATGCCCATCACTAGTGAGCCATGGGAAGGAAGAAGAAAGCCCTTTGATGAAGTCTGGGAATCAGGGACCAAGTGACATAGACTCAGAGCTATCAGAAATTCTTGTATTTAACACTTTAAAAAATAACCTTTTCTACTTAGGAATATTATATTTTAGGCCTATTCTTACCTGAGTTTTCCCAAAGATGTTTAGAAGACTAAGAACATTTAATTTTCTTTTCTATTAATTTAGTAAGTCAGTAATAAACTGAGATAAATCCATTGTAATTACTTTTTTCATTCATTCAACAAACCAAGTGCTGTTCCAAGATGCAGGGAAGTAATGGTGTACAAAAGCAGGCAGTTCTCTAGGAGCTTACCTTCTAGCATGGGAAAAAAGTCAAATATGTCATATGGTAACAAAAATGCAAGAAGAGAGTTTGATGACAGTCATGTGTGCATGTGCTGTTTACATCTTGTATTCAGGGAAGGCCTTTATGAGAAGGGACAGTCAACAGGGACCTGAGGAAGGGACAGATAGTTAGACCTATATATAGCTGAAGATAGTACTCTTTGTTATCCCCCAAGGAAGAACAAGTGCAAAATCTCTGATTCAGGAACCTGATTGGATCCTCTCTTAAATCTCAAGGAGGCCTGTTTACATGAGCAGAATTAGGGACAAGTTGATGAGGGGAAGAAATTATATTGGCACCCAGGTCCAACTGAAGACTTTGAACTTTTACTCTTGGTGAGATGGGAAATCCATAGAGTATTTTGAGCAGCAGTGTATGCAATACAATATGGTATTAACAATTATGTGATAGATTAAAATTGAGTAAAAGCAGAAGATGGCAGAGACTTGGGAAACCATAGCAGGAATGTAGGTAAATATCTTCCTAATCTTATAGGTAGAATAATATTCTTTGTGCTGAAAAACAGATCCCATGTTAAATATCTATTTCTTTATTAAGTAATTTAAGTATTTACTAATTCTTCCTGTGCATCTGGACACTAGTTTTCATTCTCATATATTTATGGATGATTTCCTTGAAAACACTTGAGCCTTAAACTGCTTTTGTAAAATTTTTGTGGTTTAAAAATCAATTTCATATGTATTTCTCTAACAAATTTGTCATTCTAATTCCATTTTAAGTAAGCCTCACCTTGACCATATAAGCAAAGATTAGAAGTAACTTTAGGTTTCTTGATAACTTGAGAGTGACTTAAAATTTAAAAACCAACAGATCAAAATATAGGTAGATATATAGGTAGGTAGGTAGGTAGGTAAGTAGATAGATAGGTAGGTAGGTAGGTAGGTAGATAGATAGCTAGATATCTAGATGATAGATATGATGATATCCTGAAAAAAGATGCTACTACATTCTTCCTGAACCTATCAGTACATAGGACTAGATTATGACAACAATATAAATTATATTCATTTTGTAGAGTATACTTAGGAAAGATGGAAAGTGTTAATGATATTTTTATCTAACATTCAATTCTTCACCATGTTCCAGGTGTTGTTCTAAGTTTATATAGTCACCACTATTCTTCATATTTTTATTTATAGAAAAGTGAACACCAGAGATGTTAGTAACTTGCCCAAAGTCACACAGTTGTTAATTACTGAGACAAGGTTTGAATTTAGACAGTCTGATGCAAGGATCTCTATCCTCTTTAATAGTATACCATTACTATAACTTTCATTTAAAATACATATTAACATACTTCTATGTAGCTCTAAAACATTATTAGTTTTGTTCAAACTTTTTTTTAGTGGTATGGGTTTTAAGCCACTGATTGATCGCATTTTCATATTTGTTTGGTTCTTTCAGCCACTCCTGATGCCACCTAAGGTTTGCTATAACATTTGAATAATTTTTTCCTGTGCTTTCTTTCCATATGATAAACTGCTCTTTATTATATTGGTGGACAGAAGCAGAAACTTTAGGATAGTTTATAATGGAACGAAGCCTCTGATCCAAAGAAGAAGTAAAGTCTGGATATTTTGTAGCAATATTTATTAGTTCATCTGGATCCGTTGAAAGATCTGAAAAAGAAATTAAAGTACTTGTCAAAAGTTACTTTCTAAATTGTTTTTTAGAATATCATTATGACAGATAATGTATTAGAATTTGTTTTCATTTCTTCTTACTATAGTAAAAGGAAGGACAACATTTAGCCAATATGTGACATAAAGATGTGTTAGTCAACAAACCCACACACATTGGTGGTTCAATAAGACTGTATCACTTAGAGATATCACAGACATCTTAGTTCTATGATTTTGGTATAACAATGAGATAATCTAATGACACATTTAGAATATATCTCCATGATTAAGCAATGTATACACACACACACACACACACACACACACACACACATACAATCACACACACACAATCTGTATGGGCCTATTTGAAGTGAGGGGCCTGTAGACATATATGGCTTTGCTATGTAAAGTCAGCTAGCACCTCTTTATGAACGAGTAATCCATAAATAAGTCCCATAGAATACAGTGGAGCTGGACATGGTGTAAGAAAAAAAATTTAGCTTAAAGATCTAATTGATCTTTTATCCAGCAAGTCCTGAATTGGGCAGCATCCTACTTAGTGAATTAGAAAAAGTGCTCCCATGAGCTAAGGAGAGGAAGTGGGCTTTATAGGCTGAAAAAAGATGAAGAAAGCAGAAACAAGGAACTTTTCTAGGGTTAACAGAGGAAACTTCCTATTTTGGGTCCAGTAAGTAAACTTCAGATCAGTTACACAAATCTCCTGTTTTCTGTAAACCTGACCTGTCTTAAAGTTCAGTTTGATTGTTTGGCATTTAGCATGATTGTTCTGGTTGGTCAGTTTTGTTGGACCCAATGGAGGAGCTCAGTATAAACAACGAGCTCCCATAAATTCCATTTAACCATGGCCATTAAAGGAGTAAAAGATGTTCATTATTTAAGGACATTAGTTTGGCCCTTAAAAGCTTATTTGGAGTTAACAATTCTGACATTTATAACTAGGAAGAGAACTTAGGGAGAAAAATGGACAATATGGGACAAATAAGTCAGAAACTATTTTTAAAAATTAGTTCCCAGATTAGTGAAGGTGACAGGCATATTTACTGGGGAGAAAAAAGACTGGATTTTGGAGTCAGACCTAGGGTTAAACTCTCAATCCTACTTTTTAGCTTTGAGATTCTGCAAAAGTATCCAAATTTTTCTGACCCCCTCGTCTCCTTTTCTATAAAAAACAATGAGAATGGTATTGTCTGGAGAGTTGGGATAAACACTAACAATATATGCGGAAAGCCAGGCTCTATAATCAATAGTCATTAATTGTTTAGAACAGATGAAACCCAGTACAATGAGTGTTGACTGCTAATGGGAAAATGAAAAGGGGCCAGCAAAAGCAGATCCAAAATTTTAGGGCACTTTGTCTGATATTCAAATGATGATTTGTAATGAGGTTGCTCTGTTTTGATTAGCTGAAAAATTTCAAATGACATCCTTAATTTTTTTTTTTTTTTGCTTTTACTACACATCACAAAGACTGGTGGTTTTATGTATATTTTGTAAGCAAACTGACTAGATTCAAAAGTTTACTTTATTAGCCAGGTGAATTGGATAATCTTTTCTACTTGTCCTAGCATGAGAATCAACAGATAGTCATTTAATCATGCTTACTGAATCTCTGGAGCAATGCTATGCAGACTGACTAATTACAAATAATATTATACTTAAAAATATATCAACAAATTTACCAAAGAGTTGAGGCATTATTGAAACACCATCAGAGTAGGTTATATACTTCCATTGGTTAGTTAGAAGCATATAGGTGGAAGCATTCACATTGCATCCATGGTATTCACTCAGAATCCAGGATGGGCGTAGATTGTCCACATTATCGACATTCTTAAGTCGTTCTGATGACAAGGGCAACAAAGAGTATCCACTCAGGTTCCGAGGCACAGGAATTCCAGCAATACCTTTGAACAAAAATATTTTAAAATAATTCATTCCTTAATTAGTTCAACATTAATAAATGACATAATTTACCTTTTTTTTTTTACAAGACTAGATATTATATGTGGATTTTTTAGTTAACAATAATAGAAACGTAGACTAAGACCTTGAAAAATGTCTGACTTAGAAAAAGGTTGCTGTTTGTTTGGAACTGCCCTTTTCCTATTGAAAAATTACTATTAATTATAGCTGCATATTTAAGATAGTTCCAAAACAAGTTGGCAATTTCCTCCTCAACCCCCTTTCTGGTTTCAATATTTCATAATTTCATGTAAATTTAACTATTCTCAATGAGGAAGAGAGGGAAGTATTTCATAAATAAATAAATAGTTAAAAACAAAGTATGTGAGAAAAAGGATTTACAGATATGAAAGTAACTGAGCTCCAGACAGCATTCAGTGTGAAGTAAAAAGAGAGAGTACAAGGGAAGAGGTTGGGTGAGAATAGGTTGGGTAAAGGGACTTTCATGCTCACTAATGAGCCATGACAAGGGAGAGAAGAGGCCCTTGAGGATGGCTGGGAGTCAGGGACCAAATGACATATACTCACATCTATCAGAAATTCTTGTATTCTAGTAAACTTTACTACTTAAGAACATTATATGTTAGGCCTATTCTTATCTGAGTTTTCCCAAAGATGTTTAGAAGACTAAGAAAAGTTAAGTTTTCTACCAATTAATTTAATAAGTAATAAACTGAAATGGGACTAATCAAATGTTCCTTTTTTTCCCATTCATTCAGCAAACCAGGTGCTGTTCCAGATGCAGGGAAGTAACAGTACACAAAACAAGCAGCTCTCCAGGAGCTTACCGTCAATATGGGAAAAGGGCGAATATGTCACAAGGTAATAAAAATGCAAGGAAGACAGAGACTATGGCAGGCTTTTAGGTCTGTGTATGTGCTGTTTTATATTTTATAGTCAGGCATGTGTGTATGTGTTGTTTTATAACTTGTTGTCAGAGAAGGCCTTTCCTAGAAAGGACATTCCAACAGTAAACTGAAGAAGGGGTAGAGAATGAACCCTATAAGATATCTACTTCAGATAGATATGATAGATACCTTTTTATCCCTAAGGAATAGAAAGTATAAGATCTCTTGATGCAGGAACCTGATTGGATACTCCCTCAAATCCCAAGGGGCTGTTTATAGGAGCAAAAGGAGGTGAACCACTTGTGTCTTGTTTACTCCAGGTCCAACAGAAGGTTATAAACTTTTACTTTAGGGGATTTGGGAAGTTGGTATACCACTTTGAGCAGCACTGTGTGTGACACAGGCTGATGCCAACCACTGCATTATAAATAGTCTAAAATTTAGTAAAAGCAGAATGTAGCACAGATTTGGGAAGCCATAGCAGGAGTTCTAGTAAATATCTTTTTAGTCTTTTATAGATAGAGTAATTTTCTTTGTGCTGAAAAACAAATCCTAAGTCAAATATCTATATTATTTTAAAAACTTTACTATTTTTTCCTATGCACCAGAAGCTTGTATTTATTTCTCATATATTTATTGATGATTTGTTTGAAAACACTGTAGCTTTAAAGGCTTTTAGAAAAATCTCTTTGATTTTGGTTTGAAAACATCATTTTCAGCCAGGCACCAATGGCTCAGCTTGTAATCCTAGATACTAAGGAGGCTGATCTGTGGATCATGGTTCAAAGTCAGCCTATGCAGGAAAGTATCTGAGACTTGTATCTCCAGTTAACTACCAAAAAGCTGGAAGTGGAGCTGTGACTCAAGTGGTAGAGTTCCAGCCTTGAGTGGAAAAGCTAAGTGATAATGCCCAGGCTCTTAATTAAAACCCTAATAATGACACACAAAAAAATAAAATTAAGAAAAAAAAACAGAAAGGAGGGAGAGTAACAGGGATCTAGGAATGGAGTAAGAAAGTGGCTGAGATATGGATAAATGTAACAAAGTGCTTTAGGATAAAGAGAAATCAGCCAGTGATGACTGAAGAGATTCTAAATTCAGAGATATAACGATATTCAGATAGAAAGATATGATATGAAACAAAAGAGAAAAGGAGAGGGCACTAATTTAACTTCCCTATAAAGAATTTGATTTGTTAAATAAAGGCAAAGACCTCATAATAGAAGATAAAAAGAACTTCTGTCTTTAAGCATGTGTCCTTCATGTTTTAATATTTCTAAAATTAGAGATATTTATGTTTGTCTTTCACCAAACTTTTACAAGTTGAGGGTACTTTTTTAATTGATAGTGCCACAGAACAGAGGACTTACAGTATGTAAATACTAATGAATTTAAAGTATTCAGTTAGATAGAAACCAACCATATATAAATTCCTTCGAATTTGATGATGGTATTATTCTAGTATTATCAACAAAATGCTAAGTATTGCAATCTACATGTTGCTGTTCTAGATCTAGAGCTATGCGTGTAGACATTAAGAAACTAATAAGGAGCTGGGTGCCAGTGGCTCATGCCTGTAATCCTAGCTACTCAGGAAGCTGAGATCTGAGAATCATAGTTTAAAGCCAGCCCAGGCAAGAAAGTCTGTAAAACTCTTATCTCCAATTAACCACCTGAAAACTGGAAGTGGGTGCTGAGGCTCAAATGGTAGAACGCTAGCCTTGAGCTAAAGAGCTAAGGGACAGCGTCCAGGCCCAGAGTTCAAGAGCCATGACTGACAAAGAAAAAAGAAAAAAGAAAAGAAAAAAGAAACTAATACAAAACTAGCAAAAGAATTTTGAGGAAAAATGATGACGTTTTCAGCTTAAAGGACCTTTCTTACCCTTTACAAATTTAATAGTCTTAAAGTAGGTAGAATAACCTGGAAAGGAAATGCTTAGATTTTAGGAAGAGGGTAGTCATCCAAATGACATAACAATTATTTAAAAAGTTATGTACCTAAGTATCATAGGTAGTTTACTCTATATAGTCATAACCTGATTATGAATCTATTGAAAGAAAAATGACTAAAGTGAATGAAGGACACTCAAATCTGACAACTCCTGTGCTTATTGCTCAGACTATGAACTTTACTTAGAGTTAAATAAGTTGTTCAAAGTGAAAACAAATCATCAGGACCTATGACTACTTTGCTTATTCATTCTTCAGCATTGTTACAAAGGAATATTTACTTACCAAGCATAGTAGGGTAAATATCTACAAGAGAAACCGCATTTGATACTTGGTGGTTGGCCTTAATTCCTGGCCCCATCATCACAAGTGGAATATGGGCACTGGCTTCATACATGCTCATTTTATAAAACTGCCGATGTTCCATTGCCAGCTCTCCGTGGTCTGCAGTATAGATGACAATAGTATTTTGAAGAAGTTCTAGCTCGCGAAGAGTCACAACAACTTCACCTACAATGAAATCAAGATAAATCTATTAATCTGTGTTTAGTTCATGTTTTATTCTACCACATTAAGTTTAAGTAATTCTGCCCTATAAGTTTGGAATGATACATAAATTTGTCAGAATGCTTTTTTTCAGTACTAGAGTTGAACATAGGCCCCTGTGCTTATGGTAGGCAGACACTTTACCTGAGCTATACTTCTAGCTCTTTTTTTGCACTTATTTTTCCTTCAGGCATATGCTTATGCTGTCCTCCACCTACTACACACTTCGCACTGTAGCTCAGATGTCCAAGCATATGACACCATACCCAGTTTTTTCCATTGAGACAGTCTTACTAATTTTTCTGCTGAAACAGGCTTAGAACTGTGATCCTCTCTATTTCAGCTTGCCACATAGCCAGGATGGCAGGTGCACACCACACTGACTATGTGTTGGTTGAGAACAGAGCTCATGTTGTATGCTGGGGTGGACCTTGAACTATGATCTTCCCAACTTCAGCCTCCCACATAGCTAGGATTATAGGTGTGAGCCACCAATGCCCAGATTTTAGGATGCTTCTTAAGATGTATATGATGCATAGGTATAGTGAACTACAGTTAGCCCAACCTCCTATAAGATGTATATGACTGCAGTTATAATAACAATATTGTAATCTGTGGTGTTTACACTCATTCCTTAAATATTATCCAGTACTTACTATGTGCCAGCCACTATGGGTGAAATGCTAGGCACCAAAGAAGCAATGCTGATCAAAATAGAAGGTTGCTGCCCTCATGAGGAGACAAATGGTATACAAGTAAACAGAAAACATAATGAATATTAAGGTGTAAACAATATAAAATGTAGATTAAATAGACTGATGAGTCTGGTTTACTGGGAAAGACATCTATGATGAGGTATAATTTGAGATGAAAGCTAAAGACTGAGAATGAGTCACAGACAGAGCAAAGGAAAGAACATTCTAGGTGAGAATGTAAAGGCACTGATATGAAGAGCTTAGCATGTTTTCTATTAACATATGTTCATGTTTCTCTCTGTCTCTGCCTTTCTCTCTCTTTCTCTCTGGTACTACTGGGTTTGATTGTTGGGCCTCACTTGCTAGGCAGGAGCTCTGCCACTGAGCCATATCTTTAGCTCTAAGGTGTAATTCTTGGGAGTATTCAATATGATGCCTCAGGAAGTACCTAGAACTAAATGTTTCTTCTTTTTTTTGGGGGGGGGAGTCCGGTTGTGGGGCCTGGGCGCTGTCCCTCAGCTCTTCAGCTCAAGGCTAACACTCTACCACTTGAGCCACAGCGCCACTTCCGGCTTTTTTCTTTTTGTTTATGTGGTGCTGAGGAATCGAACCCAGGGCCTCATGCATGCAAGGCAAGCGCTCTACCACTGAGCCACCTTCCCAGCCCCACTAAATGTTTCTTAAACAAGCACAATGAATAATAATATAATTTGGTCACCAGATCAATGTTCCTTCAAGTAGAAAAATATATTCCATAAATTTTGTAACTTAAAATAAGTAAATTGGTCATTTTCCCCTGAAAATTACTTTAACATTAGTATTTTCACACTCCCTGTGGCAACCATTAAATATGTAGTATTTCATCTTAGTAGATATGAATGGATTGTTGCAAGCTTTTAAAACAAATTTCTTTTTTGTTTAATTGGTTATGGGGCCTGAACTCTGGACCTGGGTGCTGTCCCTGAGCTCTTCAGCTCAAGGTTAGCACTCTACCACTTGAGCCACAGCACCACTCCCGGTTTTTCTGCTTATGTGGTACTGAGGAATCGAACCCAGGACCTCATGCATGCTAGACAAGCACTCTACCACTGAGCCGCCTTCCCAGTCCCTTAAAACCAATTTCTAAGGCACAAACATTCCTTAACAGGAGACTATATCAATGAAGTACAAGTCAATAGATGTTATAGATTTATTACTAAAGAAGTTTACCTACAGCCTTACTTGTATAGATTACTAGGAAAGTCCTTATGACCCTTTAAATACATGTATTTAATGCATGTACTTATAACTATAAATATCACAATGTTATAAAGATTGTAGATTGTAATTTATTCATTTTTGACTTTCTTCTGTATTTTTCTTTTCTTTTTTTTTGGGTCCAGTTGTGGCGCCTGAACTCTGGGCCTGGGCGCTGTCCTTCAGCTCTTCAGCTCAAGGCTAGCACTCTACCACTTGAGCCACAGTGCCACTTCTGGCTTTTTTCTTTTTGCTTATGTGGTGCTGAGGAATCGAACCCAGGGCCTTAGGCATGCAAGGCAAGCACTCTACCACTGAGCCACCATCCCAGCCCTCTTCTGTATTTTTCTTTTCCTTCCTTTCTTCCTTCCTTCCTTCCTTCTTTCCTTCCCTCCTTTTTTCCTTCCAGTAGTTGTGCTAAGGAGTTGCCTGTTCACCCAATAAATGTTTTAAAAATAAAAAAAACAGTCTGTTTACTCCAGTGTTTAGTCTTCATGGAAGAGGTGCTACCCAAACCTCACTAGTGCAGTTATGCCAACACGTGGCAAAATAAATTAAGTGATGGTATGATTTAAAAAACCTGCTACGTAAAAAAAACAAGATTTCTCATTATATGAATAAAACTGTTCATAACTCTAAACTGAATAGGAAAAATTCTACTATAATCATTTTATATAGGCATGTTTGTTTTTTGAACTAATCTTGAGTCTGAATGACAGAAATTCAATATGATTCTGGTTCAGAATCACATGGGTAGATTGACTTCAGCTTCAGTTAAGCCTTGTTCTAAAGTCTAACAGGTCTCAGGAAAATGGATTTTCTACAAGTATTACAAGTTAGAAGGAGTCACAAGACTAAGTTAATTTTCTTGTTCCTCAGAAACTAGGCTGAGCTACCTATCATATGTGAGCCTTCTTCAGCTAAATGCTGATACCTCTTTAAGGTCAATATAAAGTTTTGTCTCAAGTAAATGGTAACTTTCTATGACTACATCTGAACAAAGCTGAACATTTTTATGAATCAAGGGATTTATAAAAAGATAGAGCTTTCTATTCAACTATTAATTCATGTTATCCAATTATTTTGTGCCAGTATTTTTTTTTTGTTGTTGTTGTTGTTGGTCATGGGGCTTGAACTCTGGGCCTGGGTACTGTATCTGAGCTCTTCAGCTCAAAGTGAGCACTCTACCACTTGAGCCACAATGCCACTCCTGGTTTTCTGGTGGTTAACTGGAGATAAGAGTCTCGCAGACTTTCCTGCTCAGGCTGGCTTTGAACTGTGATCCTCAGATCATGGCCTCCTGAGTAGCTAGGATTACAGGTGTGAACCACCGGCTGCCTGGCTTGTGCCAGTACTTTTATAGTTTTAAGTTTGAGGTATCTAAGCAACTGTTATAAGAAAAATCTGAAGATATTCCTGCAAGTCCCAACCAGCACAATCAGTTTGTGGAAAAGTATTATATTGTCTTCATGTAACTGCTTATTATTTTACCTACCAAGCATGGCATCTGTCTCAGCACACATAGCATAATAATATGCTCTAATATTCTTGATTTCTTTGTCTGTAAACTCCCCAGTGCAGTTTTTTGTATAAGAAGAGTAATAATCTACAGGGTGCATTTCTGAAAAAGGCAACCACTTTGGGATTTTGATGGCCTGGGCAGTTACCTAAAAAGGGAAGGAAAACAATAAACTTACTTATACTTGCAAAGTCATACCTTCCCTCCAACAGGTATCTTTAGAAGACTTCACAATGTTTAATTATTGGTAACAGGAGAAAAGAATGTTTATGAAGTATGTGAAGAAAAGGGCAGGAAAATTATAAAGGAATAAATAGTAAATATAGTTGAGTGTTCTTTCATTTGCATTTGTGATTGGACTAGAACTGTCTGGAATTTAGTTAAGCCTTACTCTAAAGGATCTAGGGAGAATCGACTTGTCTCACAATGATAAATCCACATGATTTTACAAAGGATAATAAAAAAGAATTGTTTAACAAGGGCAAATATTAACTGAAAACTAATAAGACTGGTAATGAAATTCAAAAATATAAATGAAATTATAGAAAAATGGCTGACCTGATTATGTTGACACTGCCACTATCTATAGTAGAGATATATAACTCGTAAAAAAGGGGATAAGATGCTACAGAGGGGACATTGGTAAAAATGTTCACATTCAAGGGACCCTTGACATACATTAACATTGAAAGTGATCCAAATATAGAAAGGAATACGGTTTTGGCCATTTGCCAAGTCATAGAAAAGATGATGACTCATTATCATCTATCACACCATGAAAAGGCAAGCATTTGCTCAAAATACTCTTGGGTAAGTATTTAATAAAAACAACAGCAAAAACCAAACCAAAACAAATACCTGCAAACAATTTAAATCTCAGTGTTTAATGTTTTCAGTACAGTAGGCAAAACAAATACTCGTTTTATTATGTTTCTCTTACAAAAAATAGAATAATTGTAATTGTTTTGACACATTTTTATACATTTTAGAGAAAGGCTCAATTCATCCACTGACAAGATCATTTTGCAGTTCCATGGTCATTTTTATGATTGTGCAAACTGAGAATTCCCTTAAGAATGTCTTTCTGTTCTTATTTTTATAGACACACCACATATAAATGTATTTAATTCAGAAGATTTGTTTGTGTGTGTTTTATTTTTGTTTTGTTTTTTTGGTGCTGATTCTGAGTACTGTCCCTGAGGTTTTTTGTTTTGTCAGTCGTGGGACTTCAATTCTGGGCCTGGGCACTGTCCCTCATGGAAAAGTCTCATGGACTTTCCTGCTCAGGCTGGCTTTGAACCACAATCCTCAGATCTCAGTCACCTGAGCAGCTAGGTTTATAGGCATGAGCCACTGGTCCTTGGCTAGGTTTCTGAGTTTTAACACTTAATTCAGTAAAATTGTCCCTTCTTATTTTTTTGTGGGTGGGGGGAGGCGGGGATTAGAACCAGAGTTTAAAGTCAGGGCCTTGTTCAGTTTGTTTAACAAACTAGTTAAGATTAAATATATAGTTCTCATATTTCCTTTAAAGGTGCTTAGAGGAACAATAAGCTAATCCCAATAAGCTTCAGATATAACATTAACTTCTCATTTTGAGCACACAGTGTACTTACTTTGTCAAGCCAATAAAGAGATGTGTGAAATGTTGAAGATCCATAGTTTTCTCCTGAAGATGGTGAAGGGTATGGGTGTGGTAAATTTAACCCCAAGTAAAGAACAAATGGTTTAGAGTTATTTTTTGCTTCTGTTCTTAACCAATTTATTGCTTTGTCTGTATTTGTCCAGTCCTTTTCCATCACTCTTACTTCAGTCTTATTGGGAATAAGATTAACCATTGGCCTGCCTTCTTGTCTAAGTAAGAAAGAAACATCTCTTGTCCATGCTTCTACACGATTACTGGAGGAACAAAAAGATATACAGTAAGGTATTAAAAAGGCTTAAAAGCTGACTGCACGCATCTAGGAAAACAACAATGAAAACAATTTTAAGACTCAGTTCTTCAAATATTAGAATACCTATGTTAGGTCTCCGTTGAAAATTAAAAAACCAGGGGAAAAAAGAGCCAAATATTTTCTTCTATGTTCTTTGAAACTAATAAGTACTTACAATTGTTCTTTTTTTTAGAGCAAGATATTTAGTCAAACAAAAAATGTTATCTTTTTTCTTATAAACTGAAATTTCTAGTATTTTCACTTTTTTCTTTCAGAAGATAATATTTCTGGTCAGTTATATTTTCTTTCCACCATCAAAACTTTATATAATCTAAAAATCTTACTGACTTAGTATACTTCATACTTCTAAAATCTTTCATGTTTTACAGCGTTCCTAGATCTATCTTTACTACTAAAAGAACGATTTTAACCATGTACTGAATTATCAAAGGTACTACTGGTATGAATTTATTTTTACTAGCGTATTTATAAGTTAAATGATTCAATAAATTCAACTTGTAAATCTTTAGCTTGTTTTATATACTATTTGATATATTTCAATGTCTTAAGTCTATATAGCTGGCATAATTGGCTTAGGAAGTATACCAGGGAATTTTTTTTTTTTTGGTCGATCATGGGGCTTGAACTCTGGGCCTGAGTGCTGTCCCTCAGCTCTTCAGCTCAAGACGAACACTCTACCACTTGAGCTATAGCACCACTTCCAGATACCAGGGAATTTATAAGAAAATTGGTTTTATAAGTTTCAGTTAACAAAAGTTTTGTAAATTTCAGCTGACTTCTCAAGAGCTCTATAAACTTGGAAAGAATTTTGAAGATCCAGATAGGAACACATAAAATGTCTATTTCATATTAAAATATAATATTCCATTTAAGAGAAATTTTAACCCACTCAAAATGACTAATGACCTATGAATGTTAAACCAAAGTTATAAGATTTTCCTTTTTTATTTGCTTACCAAAGAGAAGTAGAGACTCCTAAAGAACTATAATGTAACTATTTTTCATAGTAGACATTCAGTATATTTTGATAAAAATGAAACCTAGGTTTTAGAGAATTATATCTAACATACTAATTAATTTTAACAGATGGGAGATCCTAAAATAGGATTTTAAAAATAAAGTTTATCATGTTATCAAAACAATATGACATTAGTTTCTCAGTCTTTTGCTTAACTCATTGCTTAAATTCCATTATGTTACTATTAGAGTAGGACTTTAGGGTAAGAACTCTAAGGGTTTAAGAAAAAACAGTGTACACTGACATGTGTAGGAACCAAAGTGCTTGTTTTAGCCAGTGGAGAAGTGTTTATACTGGAAACTATAATAGAAATTATGGCAAGATGCAAACTTGTTACGAATGTAAACTAGCTGATGATCTCTGGATTAACTCCGTGTCCTGATTGTATTGGTAGTATAGCCAGATGACCCTCTTGATACAGTCAAGAGTGAATCCACGGATGTGAAGGGTAAACCAAAGGAGGAGGCTGCAATGCTTGGTAAGAAATGTACGCATTATCCTGCCCATGTAATTGTAACCCCTCTGTACAGTATGTTCACAAATAAAATTAAATTAAATTAAAAAAAAAAAGAGTGAATCCACACTAGCATACGTGAAGATCTTCTAACCTTGAAAGATAGTGGTATTAATCACCATGTATTTTTTTTGGTCACAGCAATGAAGGAATGTGATTTCATTTAACCTTTTTGATAGTAAATTTATCATCTGTCTCCATGTTTTTAAAACAATTTCTCTGTTGTGAGATACTTTTAACCAAGGTCTCTGTTATGATTTCAATCTTAAATGTTCTCCAAAGGTCTAGATACTAAAGGCTCGGTTGTCAACTCCTGGTGCATTCACTTGAAAGATATACTGGGGCCCTGGACTCTTTCTCCCCTCTCTCTACTTACTGGTCATATGCTCCTATCATGATATTATGGCTTGCCACTGGGCTGAGGCAGAGGAACCAATTGACCATGAACTAAAACCTCTGAAACCATTAGCCAAAAAGAAATCTTTCCTCCTTTTAAGTTGCTTGATTCTGATTTCAGTGATAGAAATCTGCCTACCACAGTCCCCTTAAAAGTGAAAAGGCTCAACTCAGGTTAGTTTTGCTTATTTTATCATTATGGCTAGATACAAAATTTGGTTTTTGGCTTCTTACTAAATAGTTTTGATTTATTCCTTGTTACTACAAGTGGAAAATAAAATTATGTAACACAATCAATTAGTTATTGCATAAATTTATACAAATGCCACTGCTGTGTCATGTGCCAAATTTTACTGCTCTAACATGGTATATAGTGAGTTTACAAGCACAGGATTAATTTACATAGTAACAATCACCTCCAAAAAATGCTAAAACTGATGATAAGAATAACTTTTTTCAACACAAAGTAGGAACCTAGACAAATATTCAGCTAAGACTTCCACGAAGACAGTGAGCTAACTCAGATGCCTCACACTTTCACATTTCTGTACATCCTGTGTTCTTCTTCCCTTTCCATGTCCTCCCCCTCTCATCTCTCTCCTTCCTGTCTCTTTGTCTCATTGTTATTGTTGGAATTGCAGCTATGTGTTTCCAGTAAGCTTCTTGCATAGAAAAAAGACAGTTCTGAAAAAAATGCCCTTGTAAGTTTCAATATCACACTAATTCTATGAGAGAAAAGGGATTCATTTTTTCCTCTTCAGTGCTCTTCTCTCTTCTTCTGTGAGAAACATGCCATTTAAAAAAAGATTTCAAGGCTGTCTTCTATCTATTTTAATATGAATTCTCAAATAATGTTTAACTTCGCCAACCTTGGCAGATTAAGGTTAGAATATCACTTTCAATGTACATTATTTAGGCATACATGCTTTCTCATTGATTAATTTCATTAATTCTACTAACTTTCACTTTTGGTGAACTTATAGCAACCCATGCTCTTTCTTCTTGTTTTTTTTGTAGATATGATGAAATTAAGAATTTTTTTTCTATTTAATAGTAATAATATGTCAATTACATACTTTATGTTGATTTTATATTTTTCTCATAAGAATAATATATTTCAAATGAGAGTTTTGTTTGCCTGTATGTAGAAGATACTCATATATACTTGAACATATCAACTTGAGCAACTATAACATTTCAAAGTTTCAAAACTTTTGCTTTTGATATTCTGCAGGAAATACTACCTGGAAAAAAATGCCATAAACTCTTAAAGATCAAAATGGAAGAGTATCCTTAGTAAATATGTCATTAGGAGAATTTTCCAGGCAGTTTCTATAAGAGAGGTGTCATCATGTCCCTAGTTCTTGCTAAAGAGGAGACCTAGATAGACTTATTATGTGGAAGTTTATTCCCCTTCTAGCCTATCAACTGTTGAGGGAAACTATTCTGAGGACTAGGTCCTTATATCCTTAACCTGATCAGCAATCATAATGTATCTGGCATCAAATATAACTTAGGACTATCATTTGTTTTTACAGAATTTCAATTAAGAAAGAAAAAAATAATCCAGTAATGGCCAGTTATCCAGAAAGCACCATGAGGTAGACAGAGTCACAAAGATGAATGGGACTTGAGCCTAAAGGATAATGCAGGTTACTGTTACAGTTAGAAGTGCTGTAACTGAAAAAAAGACCCAGAAGAAAGGAGAGGAGTAAATCGATACTCCTGCTAATGACAGAATTAATACCTCCGTAGTCCTTCCTACTGAGGTCATTACAGCTGTACTGGATTCAAAATTACTTGTCTTTGATTGACAATCCAGATCCGCTTTGATTGCAAGCAAATATATACATTATGATCATGTATTCTCTACCCGGAACAATCACCTGTCTAATATAGGTGGGCTCAAGGACTATTATCTCAACTTAAAGAATTTTACAAGGGTCTTGGGGCATAATTCAGTGGAAGACCACTTGAGTGGTCTTGAGTTTTATCTATAACACCCTAAATAAAAATGCATGAGCATGCACACACACAAAACCTTAATAAAAATAATTAACAGGTTCAGCATACTATACTTAATGAAAATCTCATTCAAGTTTCAGAATAGAAGAGTTACAAAAGGTATGGATTTGCCATGTACCAGTAGCTTACATCTATAATTACAATTACTCAAGAGGCTGAGAAATGAGGAATTCTCTTCAAAGCCAGCCCAGGTATCTGTAAGACTTTTATCTCCAATTAACCACCAGAAAATTAGGAGTGGAACTAAAATGCCAGTTTTGAGCCAAAAGGCTAAAGAACAGTGCCTAGGCTCTGAGTTCAAGCCCCAATACTGGCACAAAGAATAAAATAAAAGGTAGACAAATCATGCTTCAAATTAGTAAGAGATTTCATTGTTAAGAAATTAGATTAGCTCTAGCTATGTTAATTTACCTATGCATCTTTAGATATTTTTTTCATTCCTTATTTTTCTGGGGTTTGAACTCAGGGTCTATGCTTACTAGGCAGGCACTCAACTATTTAAGCCAAGTCCCAACCCCTTAACATTGCTCTCTTAAAGGTACAAAAAGGAGTCTGAAAATTCTCATCCAACCCTTACGGAGTAAGGGCCTTACTTTAAAAATAATCACCAATCAATTGTAAAAGGGGGTTTCATTTGAACATTTCTATCTATGCATATAAAGCATCTTGATCCTAATCCAGAACTAACAAGCTTCAATGTTCCATTTTCACACTTATATAGTATTTGACCTTGACCCTCTCCATTTGCCTACCCCTTGCCACAGTGTCTTTTGAAATTGTACATTTCAGGTTCCTACCAGAAAAAGAAGTACTACAAAGAAATCTGGAGACTTGAGATGGGGAAGATGATGGTTTTAGGCTAAACCAAGCAAAAAAATGTTAGTGAGAGACCAAGTCATCAAATAAACTGTGTGTACTGGCACATACCTGTAATCTCAGCTACATAGAAGACATAGTAGGCAAGTACAGGGCTGCCTGAGTTCGAACTCCC